CTGGTAAAAAACGCTTTGGTGGACATTGTTTTGGGTGTTAGAGAAGAAAGAATATTTACTTAATTTTACTTATTTAATTCAATTTACTTTCTTTGATGTTCTCTTAGGACCTACTCCTTTCTGTGTGGATCTCTGTTCATTTTCTCTCTATACTTCAGTGTCCCCTCTCTCCCAACCGTTTCTCCCCCTCTTTTCTTTTCTAAAAAAGAAAGAGTTAAGTATCACGTTTCATACTTATTTTCATGACACTTTATAACAGTACAAATTTTCAGCAAAACAAGCTGAAAATATTTTAATTACTGTAATTGTTGCATTTAAAAACTCTACAAATTGACAAAAAAGAATAAAAAGGAGTTAAATCTTAATAATTTAAAATGCGTTTTAGAGACTTTGTCTTCTTGTGTGACAGTCACAGGTGTCGCACCAGTTAATGACCATGCTTTACCTAGCTAACCTGTCATTAGCAGTTAGCAGCACACATTAGCTACATTTTCCATAATTATGTACTTTGACATAGTTTTTAATTAATATATATATATATATATATATATATATATATATATAAAAAATATATATAATATAAAAAAAAACACTTAGTTGAGAAAAAGATAAATATTTGAACAATTACAAACACTTCCCATGTGCACATCATGGGCTTCACAGGGGGCTTCAGTACCGTTAACTGTAAGGGGGCTTTTCAACTAGATAAGGTAACCATTGGTCCATAACCATTGAATTGCCCGATTAAAATTAAAATATGGTGACCACCAAAGGACATGGTTTTCAGTGACAAAATGTATCAAGCTCCCACACTTCTAGAAATATCAATGATTGCCATTTACTAAAATAGATACTTGTAACATTATGCCTGAGGCATTTATCAACATTTTTATGCGTGTCATTTTATTTTATAAAGTTGTAATTTATTGAACCATGCTTCACACCATAGGACTATAATGAGATTTGGCTCAGAAATTTAAGAAATCTAATAACAAAGCTGTTTTACAGGTCCTTCTACCATTTACTGCACTTTAAATTATGACAAAATGATTTTTATTAATTTTCATCTTCTGTGACAGTGAAAATGCCATCTCACATCAACAACCCATAAATATCAATATATCACCAATACCTCCTCTTTAACACACAAAACATGTAACTGTGCTGGTCAGACTGTCCTCAAATCAACTGATCACATCAGAGGATGAACAATTTAGATTTTAATGACCACTGGACAAACTTTACATAGTCTAGCGACAGTCTAGCTGCACTATTGGTAAAAGTGAGATTAATCATCATGGTGTTGTTGGTCGTAATGAAGACTGCAGCTTGTAAGGGGCACAAGCAGGCATTCACACTGATGACTTGTTTATATTTCTTAACTGAAGAAAGACATTAGCCTCATCTCTGTGCGTATAATCGCAGCTCACACTTTATTCTCTGTTAATCCTGTTTTCCATTATCCCCTCACTGGTAATTTGATGTAAATGTATTCAGCGGCTGAGCTGCAGGAGGATTTTCACAGAGACTTAAACCTGAGAACTCCTAAATGAGAGGAAAGACGTGCTTTGCGTTTCCTGCACTCACACACAGTTAGACGTCCTGTTATTCACTGGTCTTTGTTTAAATCACGATAGAAATGTTCCACCTAACACAGTAATGTATTAACCTCCTTTACAATTTAAATGTTTTACTACAAAACTGCAGCAGTTTACATTTTAGCAGAGTCGTAGCTGAGACTTCCAAAGAGAGGCCAAACATGTCTATAAAATGTTATTGTTGCTTATTAGTTCTGTTTCTGTTAGTTCCATGTGTTAATGTGAGGAAGGTTACACTTTCCTCATTTCTCTGCACAGATCTGAGGTTTCGTCTGGAAGGCTTGAGTGATGTCGAATCCTCACACAACACAAAACATCTTTTTTTTGCGATTTAAAGAAAAGAATTGCCGGTATTTCCAAAAACTGTAAACACAGAACAGGTGGATGGAATAAAACTTAATTGCCTAAAACAGACCAAATACTCACGTTGGAGAAACTGGAACCAGAGAACGTTTGGTGTTTTTGTTTGAAAAAGTGCGGCCTGTCCCCACCAAGCAGCTTATTACGCCCCATATTTACATTTATTGTGGCTTCTAGTGGTCGTATGACTGTAGCAAAGGAAGAAAGTTGGTGTAACATGGTGGATGAATGAGTCAAACTCAGGAGACCAGTGTTTGAGCCCAACGTGAAACCAAGTAAATGTTGACTTAGTTTTACTTTTTTTTAACGCAAGCTGCAATCATTCCTTAAACATAACTAAACTACGACTTTTTGACAATGTTAACCACGCGATCAACTACGATTATGTCCTCAATGTCCAGTACGCCTGTCCCTGGACTGCTACTTTACAATAGTCATACAGTATGTGTCATTATACATTACAATGGTCATATATGTTGTACTTTCTAATGTTATACTTTCTGTATATGTTGTTCCAACGTTCATATGTGTCGTTGGGCGTTCTAACGGTCATATGTAGTTGTGCTTTCCAATAGTTGTATATCTCGTTGTGTTTTTCAACGGTCGTACGTGTCATTGTGCTTTCCAACAGTAATATTGAGTCGTGCTTTCCAACAGTAATATTGAGTCGTGCTTTCCAACAGTAATATGTAGTCGTGCTTTCCAACAGTCGTATGTAGTCGTGCTTTCCAACAGTAATATGTAGTCGTGCTTTCCAACAGTCGTATGTAGTCGTGCTTTCCAACAGTAATATGTAGTCGTGCTTTCCAACAGTCGTATGTAGTCGTGCTTTCCAACAGTCGTATGTAGTCGTGCTTTCCAACAGTAATATGTAGTCGTGCTTTCCAACAGTCGTATGTAGTCGTGCTTTCCAACAGTAATATGTAGTCGTGCTTTCCAACAGTCGTATGTAGTCGTGCTTTCCAACAGTAATATGTAGTCGTGCTTTCCAACAGTAATATGTAGTCGTGCTTTCCAACAGTAATATGTAGTCGTGCTTTCCAACAGTAATATGTAGTCGTGCTTTCCAACAGTAATATGTAGTCGTGCTTTCCAACAGTCGTATGTAGTCGTGCTTTCCAACAGTAATATGTAGTCGTGCTTTCCAACAGTAATATGTAGTCGTGCTTTCCAACAGTAATATGTAGTCGTGCTTTCCAACAGTCGTATGTAGTCGTGCTTTCCAACAGTCGTATGTAGTCGTGCTTTCCAACAGTAATATGTAGTCGTGCTTTCCAACAGTCGTATGTAGTCGTGCTTTCCAACAGTAATATGTAGTCGTGCTTTCCAACAGTCGTATGTAGTCGTGCTTTCCAACAGTAATATGTAGTCGTGCTTTCCAACAGTAATATGTAGTCGTGCTTTCCAACAGTAATATGTAGTCGTGCTTTCCAACAGTAATATGTAGTCGTGCTTTCCAACAGTAATATGTAGTCGTGCTTTCCAACAGTCGTATGTAGTCGTGCTTTCCAACAGTCGTATGTAGTCGTGCTTTCCAACAGTCGTATGTAGTCGTGCTTTCCAACAGTCGTATGTAGTCGTGCTTTCCAACAGTCGTATGTAGTCGTGCTTTCCAACAGTCGTATGTAGTCGTGCTTTCCAACAGTAATATGTAGTCGTGCTTTCCAACAGTAATATGTAGTCGTGCTTTCCAACAGTCGTATGTAGTCAGTCGTGCTTTCCAACAGTCGTATGTAGTCAGTCGTGCTTTCCAACAGTCGTATGTAGTCAGTCGTGCTTTCCAACAGTCGTATGTAGTAGTGCTTTCCAACAGTAATATATAGTCGTGCTTTCCAACAGTAATATGTAGTCGTGCTTTCCAACAGTCGTATGTAGTCAGTCGTGCTTTCCAACAGTAATATGTAGTCGTGCTTTCCAACAGTCATATGTAGTCGTGCTTTCCAACAGTAATATGTAGTCGTGCTTTCCAACAGTAATATGTAGTCGTGCTTTCCAACAGTCGTATGTAGTCAGTCGTGCTTTCCAACAGTCGTATGTAGTCAGTCGTGCTTTCCAACAGTCGTATGTAGTCAGTCGTGCTTTCCAACAGTCGTATGTAGTCGTGCTTTCCAACAGTAATATGTAGTCGTGCTTTCCAACAGTAATATGTAGTTGTGCTTTCCAACAGTCGTATGTAGTCAGTCGTGCTTTCCAACAGTAATATGTAGTCGTGCTTTCCAACAGTCGTATGTAGTCGTGCTTTCCAACAGTAATATGTAGTCGTGCTTTCCAACAGTCGTATGTAGTCGTGCTTTCCAACAGTCGTATGTAGTCGTGCTTTCCAACAGTCGTATGTAGTCGTGCTTTCCAACAGTAATATGTAGTCGTGCTTTCCAACAGTAATATGTAGTCGTGCTTTCCAACAGTCGTATGTAGTCAGTCGTGCTTTCCAACAGTAATATGTAGTCGTGCTTTCCAACAGTAATATGTAGTCGTGCTTTCCAACAGTCGTATGTAGTCAGTCGTGCTTTCCAACAGTAATATGTAGTCGTGCTTTCCAACAGTCGTATGTAGTCGTGCTTTCCAACAGTAATATGTAGTCGTGCTTTCCAACAGTAATATGTAGTCGTGCTTTCCAACAGTAATATGTAGTCGTGCTTTCCAACAGTCGTATGTAGTCAGTCGTGCTTTCCAACAGTCGTATGTAGTCAGTCGTGCTTTCCAACAGTAATATGTAGCAGTGCTTTCCAACAGTCACTACCTATCACTACCTGTTTTGTCATTTAGGTATGAGGATGTGGTGTAAAAATTACTTAAATGATTTTCAATTTTCTGTGGACTGACTGGCTTTCGGTTCGTTGTAGTAAACTGTAATTCCACACTGGTATCTCCTTTTTTGAACACATCAAAACAAAAACAGATGATGTTTACTCACACAAATCAGTACAAGAATCTAAATGTAGTTTCAGGCTTTAGCTTCAGACTGTGCAGAGCCACCTTTTATGTAACATGAAATAAATACAAAAGTGACTCGTGTGTTCGTCCATTTACCTCCATTTATTATGAATGATAAGTTTTCAGACTGACAGCGTCTCTGCTGGCTTTTCTGCTCCGTCAGGGCGGGTAGAAAGAGAGAGAGTACTCCATGTGTACCTCTGTTTCTGTGTCTCTCGCTCTCTCCAGGCTGTGTGAGCAGTGAATTGATGTGGGAAAGAGCGAGAAACATTAACGGCAGGAGGAGGGAGGATAAAGAGAGAGAGAGGCGGTGAGAGCGTGTGAAGGAGGGCGTCTGACAAGAGATGAGAGTATTTATAGGTGGAGAGAAGAGGACATAGAACGACAAGTGGAGAGAGAGGAGGGAGGGAGGTAGCGATACAAAGGGAGAGAGAGGAGAACCCAGACCATAGATCCAGACACAATAAGAAGAAAAGGAAGACAAAGAGGAGGAGAGGGCGAGCGAGACACCATGCTGAGGAGGAAGAGGAGCGTGTCGTTCGGGGGCTTCGGATGGTAAGACTGTGTGTCTCGCACCCTTCAGATAATGATCTCATCACTTCTCTTACTCTTACTTTCAGTGTCTTTGAGTTCATTTCCAGTCTGAGCTGCTGCGCCGGGGTGACATCACGGTGACATCACAGCTCCTGGAAAATAATGTTAAGATGAGTCAGTCAGCTTTTATTGTTTCTTGACCTACTGTGCTTCAGGATGAGAAGAAATCGGAAAATTTAAGTTAAAATGTGACTTTTTTGAATGGGGTTTGGTTGAAAACTTTTGCTGCAGCTTTTCTGAAGTATTTACACAGTAGAGGAGTTCATGTTTTGTCAATGTGAGAAACATTTTGTCTCTGTTGTCTCTGTTTCTAGTCGACGGATGGAGAACAAAACCCACTTTGCTGTGATAATTTACATGACATTTCAGACAATATTATCATAAATCGATGTACAATCACGTTAACAGTTGATTGTGGTCCCGGTCTAATGTTCTAATTTTTCCAGAGAAAATCCAGGAATGTAGATAAAAGAAAGTTTCCTTGTACTCCACACTCATCTTTGGCCCCGATGGCTGGTTTCATTTTGGATCTGGTTCTTGTTAGCTGAGCTACTAGGCAATTAAACTAGCTTAGCATGAAGACCCAAAGCCTGGCTCTGTCCAATACCCAAAAAAACACCTTCTGTACATCCTTAATGTTCATTTCCAGTCTCAGCTGCTGCACAGAAGTGACATCACGGTCACATCACTACTAGCTTTTGTGGTTTTTCTGACCTGCAGCGCGTCACGATGAGGAGAAATCTGAAATTTAATTTAAAATTTGACTTTTTAAAAATGGGGTTTGGTTGAAAACTTTTTTGGTTGTGAACATAACAGAAAGTTATTGAGTCCACACTCAGGTTTGACCCCGATGGCTAGTTTCATTTCAGATCTGGTTCTTGTTGGCTTTTAAGTATGGTGTTTAGCCTAGCTTAGCATAAAGACCCAAAGCCTGGCTCTGTCCAAAGTTCAATAATCCACCTGTTAACACCTGCAAAGCTGATTAATTAACACAATGTGTCTTGTTTATTTAACCCGTTAACAAACACAAATGCAAAAACGACAAGTTGTAGTTTCCGAGGGACCAAACTACATTTCCTCACTACTTCCGTCACTGAAACTGCATGTTGGAAACACACATTCTGTGTGATTGTGAAACGTTTGTTTCAAAATGGCGGCTCTTGATAGACGCTCGTTGATTCTGAGGGAGCGGCGCTGTAAACCTGACGCCGGCGATGTTTTAGATCTCGGAATTATTTCCTGATGTCAGACGTCGTGGGTGGGATGTGGACAGTTTGACAGGAAGAAGTACTGAGGCAGAGAGAAATGTAAAGTGGCTGTTTCGTCCTCGCCTCAGTAAACCTGCTGTCGGCCTGTCAAACCTCCTGCGACCAGAGTACACTGTTCTGTGTGGAAACTCTTACACAAGCTCCTCTTCAATCATTCACTCTCTGTTTCCATTTTCAAAGCTGCCCCCCCTCCTCCTCTCTACTTCTTCTACACCTCCTTATTCCTTTCTCTTCATCCTTATTCCCTTCCATACCCCCTTTGTTTCTTCTGTACACACTTATTCCCTTCTCTTTCTCATTCTTTCCTTCAATACCTCCTTCTTTGCTTCTGTGCATCCTTATTCCCTTCTCTTCCTCCTTCTTTCCTTCCATACCTCTTTCTTTGCTTCTGTGCATCCTTATTCCCTTCTCTTCCTCCTTCTTTCCTTCCATACCTCCTTCTTTGCTTCTGTGCATCCTTATTCCCTTCTCTTCCTCCTTCCTTCCTTCAATACCTCCTTCTTTGCTTCTGTGCATCCTTATTCCCTTCTCTTCATCCTTTCCTATCATACCCCCTTCGTTTCTTCTGTACATCCCTATTCCTTCTCTTCCTCCTTCTTTCCTTCCATACCCCCTTCCTTTTTTTCTGTACATCCTTATTCCCTTCTCTTCCTCCTTCTTTCCTTCCATACCTCCTCCTTTGCTTCTGTGCATCCTTATTCCTTTATCTTCCTCCTTCTTTCCTTCAATACCTCCTTCTCTCCTTCTGTACATCCTTATTCCTTTCTCTTCATCCTTATTTCCTTCCGTACCTCCTTCCCTCCCTCTCTACATTCTTATTTCCTTCCACACCTCTATCTTTGCTTCCATACCTCCTTCATTTCTCTGTACATCCTTCTTTCCTTCCATTACTCCTTCTTTCCTTGTACATGCCCCTATTTCCTTCCTTCTTCTTTTATCCATAATATGTCCTTTCCTTAATCTGTCTTTCCAGCTTCTCAAAGCATTTCCTCTCCCTGTAAACCTCTTACCACCTGCACCTCCTCCTGCTCCTCCTCTTCCGCCCTCCTTACTCCCTTCTGTCCTTCTTGTCTCTCGTCTTTCTTCTTCTCCTCCATAATAACAATAATAAAACAGTACACAGTTTACCTCGTCATCCCTCCGTCCTCCCAGTGTTTACGACGAGTCGACTATAGCTTTGCAGTATTTAATAATGCAGGAGCAGCTTCAGGGCATCAGTTTATATTAAAGCCTCGACTCCACCACCACCTCCCCTGTTCCTCTCTCATCTCTCCTTCAGCTAATTCAACAATCAGTTGTTGAATTATAGAAGAAAATGTCACGTCAGGACTCACTTTAATCTTCCGCTGATATTATTGTGTGGTAATAAAAATCTATTCATATTCAACACGTCCTCAATATGTACAAGCGTGCAAGTAAACATGGTGAAACTGTGGTAGTTTGGTTAGCTATAGTCAACAAAACCACTTAGGTTTAGGAAAAGATTGTGGTTTGAGTTAAAATAAGTACGTCACGTAAGTCATTTACAAAACGTTATTTAACTCAAAACATGTCATCTTGTTTGTCAGTTTAAAAAATACTTAATACTTAATACATTACTAAGTCAAGAAAGTCGCAGTTTGTTATAAAGCAGTTGAAGTATAAGTGTGTGACGTCATAACCTTTCTCTCAGTGACTGAAGCTAACATCACTGAAACTAATGTTACTGAAATTAACGTTACTGAAGCTAACATCACTGAAGCAAATGTTACTGAAATTAACGTTACTGAAGCTAACATCACTGAAGCAAATGTCACTGAAGCTAACTTCACTGGAGCTAATGTTACTGAAGGTAATGTGACGGAAGCTAACGTTATCAAAGCTAACATTACTGAAGCTAATGTTACTGAAAATAACGTTGCGTCACTGAAACGAACGTCACTGAAGCTAATATTACTGGAGCTAATGTGACTGAAGCTAACTTCACTGGAGCTAATGTTACTGGAGCTAATGTGACTAAAGCTTACTTCACTGAAGCTAATGTGACTGAAGTTAACTTACTGAAGCTAACATCAATGACGCTAATGCTGAAAATAACGTTGCGTCACTGAAACGAACGTCACTGAAGCTAATATTACTGGAGCTAATGTGACTAAAGCTTACTTCACTGAAGCTAATGTGACTGTAGTTAACTTACTGAAGCTAACATCAATGACGCTAATGTCAGTGAAGCTAACGTCATTGAAACTAACATCACTGAAGCGAACGTCATTGAAGCTAACGTGACTGAAGCTAACATCAGTGAAGCGAACGTCACTGAAGTTAACGTTCATTAAGTTAACCTTCCTTAAATTAGCGTTACATAAGTTAATATTCCTGAAGCTAACGTCAATGGAGCTAACGTCATTGAAGCTAATGTTACTGATGTTAACGTTCCTTAAGTTAATGTTAATGAAGTTAATGTTCCTGGAGCTAACGAGCTAATATTAAAGAGCTTCGATGTGTAGATGATGTGATGAAAGGACCAGGAGTAGTTGGATTTAACACATCAGGTGAGATACATCTGTGTGCGTGGAACATAGCCTAGTTACCTAGCTGGTAGCGACTAAGCAGTGAATGTTAGCTAAGCATTACAGCACTAACATGTTGTTGACATATATTGTGCGAGACGAGAGATGATGTTCATTGAGCGGTTTCACACAAAACTAAATGTTACTTTACGGATTTAAACTGCAACTTTCTTGACTTAAATCTGCTGTGGTTCATCTGAGAGGCCGGTTAGACGGCCATCTTTGTGTAATCCTGTGTGTGAGAGAGCAGATTTAGCAGCATCCATATGTTATTTATGACCTGAGGGAGTTCTTTTTTTACAGAGTCATCATACAGGCTTTTAACAGTAAGGTCGATCACGCTCTCTTTCCATTTCTACATTACTGCCGTCTCCTCTCTCCTCCTCTGTATATCAGTGCAAACACTAAAGTCAGTCTGAAGTGCAAATGGTTAGTTGATTTAAATTTCCAGCCTCAGAGTTCAGTTTGTTCTCTGGAGGTTTGTGTTGCATTTAGAGTCAAAGATCCACATTATTATTTATAGATAGACAGAAACAGAATGATAAGCCTGAGTGACATGCAGCAGTTTTTAATATAAAGGACAGAAAGAAAACATAAAGTGACATTCACAGACATGATGAAAGGGGGCATTATATAATGGGGATATTTATAATTTCCATCCTTTTATCTTTTAGTTAGCCTTATATTTATGGTAGCATTTAACATTTAGTCGGCCTCTATAAACAGTAATTTAAAGAGCCGGAGACTGTAAATGAATTACCAACATTTTTTTAAATAATTAAAAACATCAGGATTTGCTGTTTTTTGCTGCACTTAGTTTTTTGTAAATTGTTTTTTTTTTTTTAAACATGAATTAGATGCACAAAACATGTCATTTAGCAAGTTACTGGAGAAAGAGTCGAGAGATTCGAAGACACAATTCCTTTTAAGCACATAAACAAAAGTATAACAAGTATAAGTATAAATTATCTGTTGTCTTTTTTCTTATAGTTTTGTTTCATATTTTTATTGTGTAATATATAGTTTATGTTTTGGTACAAACAAACTAGCTTTTCACATACAACTGAATATCTTTTCAAGACCTTGTGTCTATTTTTCACTGTTTTCTTACTTTTATAGACCAAGCAATTAATCAGTAACTGTT